ATAACTTTTTTGAATGTCGATAATGACATTCTTTGTTTAAAATTTTATCGACAGCAAAATTTCTTATGGAAATTGCATCGATAACACATTTCTCAAAAAAAAAAAAAAAAAAAAAAAATGAATAAATAAAAAATAACAATAAATAAATCAATAAATAGATCGATAAAACAGTTTTCTATACAAAACAACAATAATAACAGGTTTTTCAAAAAAAGTACTTCGATAAAAAAAAAAACTAAAAAATGTCATCGATAAAAAAATTTGTACTGAAAATTATTTCGATAAGCTATTTTTCGTTAGAAATCGACTTCGATAGAAACCTTATGCTTTGAAAAAATTATATCGATAAATATTTTTTACGGGAAATTATTTCGATAAAAAATTTTTCTTTAGAAATCCACTTCTATACCTACATATTTTTGTTATCGATGACATTTTCTATAGAAAATGTTGTTATCAATGGCATTTTCGATAGAAAATGGTGTTATCAATGACATTTTCTATAGAAAATGGTGTTATCGGTTACATTTTCTATAGAAAATGTTGTTATCGATGACATTTTCTATAGAAAATGTTGTTATCGATGACATTTTCTGTAGAAAATGTTGTTATCGATGACATTTTCTGTAGAAAAATTTGTTATCGAAGACATTTTCTATAGAAAATGTTGTTATCGATGACATTGACATTGGATAATGTTGCTATTGATGCTATATTCAACAGAAAATGTTGTTATTATACATATTCCACAGAAAATGTTGTCATCGATAACGTATTCCACAGAAAATGTTGGCATCGATGATATTTTCTATAGAAAATGTTGTTATCGATGACATTTTCTACAGAAAATATGGTTATCGAAACCGATTTCTAAAGAAAATGTTGTTATCGAACAACATTGCTAGAGAAAAAGTTGTTATCGAACAACTTTTCTATAGGAAACGTTGTTATCAAACAACTTTTCGATTGAAAATTTTGTTGTCGAACAACTTTTCGATTGAAAATGTTGTTATCGAACAACTTTTCTATACCTACATTTTTTTTGTAAACAATGACATCGATAACAACATTTACACTGAAAATTATTTCGATCAGCTATTTTTCGTTAGAAATCGACTTCGATAGAAACATTTGCATTGAGAAAAATTATATCGATAAACATTTTTTTACGGGAAATTATTTCGATAACACATTTTTCTTTAGAAATCGACTTCTATACCAACATTTTTGTTAACAATGACATCGATAACAACATTTGTACTGAAAATTATTTCGAAAAGCAATTTTTCGTTACAAATCGACTTCGATAGAAACCTTATGCTTTGAGAAAAATTATATCGATAAACATTTTTTACGTGAAATTATTTCGATAACACATTTTTCTTTGGAAATCGACTTTGATAACAAATTTTTTTTTATAAACAAATTCATCGATAACAACATTTGTACTGAAAAGGATTTCTATAAATTCGTTAAAAAATCGACTTCGATAGAAACCTTATGCTTTGAGAAAAATTATATCGATAAAAATTTTTTACGTGAAATTATTTCGATAACACATTTTTCTTCAGAAATCGATTTCGATGCCAACATTTTTTATAAATAAAGACATCGATAACAACATTTTCTATAGAAAAGGTCTTCGATAATAACCTTTTCTATAGAAATTGTCTTCGATAACAATAATTATTACGGAGAATTATTTCGATATCATATTTTTTTTATTAGAAAACGACTTTGATAACAACATTTTCTATAAACAATGGTATCGATAACAATATTTTCTATAGAATATATCTGCAATAACAAAATGATTTATTGAAAACTATCTGGAAAACATATCGATAATAAAATTTTCTAAACAAAATGTCTTCGATGAAAGCGTTTTTACTTAAAATTATTTCGATAAGACATTTTGCGTCAGAAAAATAAATAAATAAAGGCATTGATGCCAACATTTTTAATAAATAAAGACATCGATAACAATATATTCTATAGAAAATATATTCGATAACAATATTTTTACGGAGAATTATTTCGATAACAATTTTTTTTTATTAGAAAACGATTTTGAAAACAATATTTTCTATAAATAATGGCATCGATAACAACATTTTCTATAAAATATATCTTCAATAACAAAATATTTGATTGAAAATTATCTGGAAAACATATCGATAATAACATATTCTAAAAAAAAGTTTCTTCCATAAAAACGTTTTTACTGAAAATTATTTCGATAAGACATTTTGCATCAGAAAAATAAATAAATAAAGGCATCGATAACAACATTTTTTTTATAAACAATGACATCGATAACAAGCTTTTCTATAGAAATTATCTTCGATAATAATATTTTTTACGGAGAATTATTTCGATAACATATTTTTTTTTTATTAGAAAACGACTTTGATAACAATATTTTCTATAAATAATGGCATCGATAACAACATTTTCTATAGAATATTTCTGCGATAATAAAGTGTTTTATTGAAAAATATCTGGAAAACTTATCGATAATAACATTTTCTAAAGAAGATGTCTTCGATAAAAACTTTTTTACTGAAAATTATTTTGATAACAAAATGTTTTATTAAAAACTGTCTGGAAAACATATCGATAATAACATTTTCTAAAGAAAATGTCTCTCCGATAAAAACTTTTTTACTGAAAATTATTTCGATAAGACATTTTGCGTCAGAAAACGGCATTGATAAAAAAATTTCCTTTAAAAATATGACATCGATAACAAAAAAGAAAGATTTTAGAAGCTGTTCGCTTACAACATTTTCGTTAAAGAAGTTGTTCGATAATAATAATAATTATTCGAAAACAACATATTCTGCGAAAATGTTGTTCGATTACAACTATTTCTGTAGCAACGATGTCCGATAGCAATCTTTATCCGATTATAATATATAGAGCAGTTGTTTGATAAGAATATTCTCTTTGGCATAGATGCTCGATAACTGCAAAATTGCCCTATAACAATGTTTTCTGTAAAAATGTCGATCGTTAACAACGTTTTTGGTAGAAATGTTGTTCGATAACAACTTATTCCATAAAAATGTTGTTCCATAACAGCGAAGTTTTTCGATATCAATAATATCTATGGAAAAGCTTTTCGATAACAAAAATTTATGCGTAAATATAATTTGACAAGAATTTTTCTAAAAAAAATTTTTTTCGATAACCAAAAATTCGATAACAGCCAATTCTATATATAAACAGTTCGATAATAATATTTTCTATAGCAATAGAGTTTGATAACAACGTTTTCTATAGAAGTTATTATTCGATAACAATTTTTCATACAAAAATGTTCTCAAATAACACCACTTTGTACCACTTTCGATAATAATAATTTCCGTATATAAGTTGCAACGATAACACATTTTCGATTGGGGAGCTGTTCGATAACAATGGTCTTTAGAAAAATGTGTACGATAACAAAGATATTGTACTATAACTATGAACAAAATATCGACAACAGTCGTTTTTGCAAAAAAAAAAAAAACATTGACCAAAAAAAAAAAAAAAAAATCCAACAAAAATGTTATTCGATAACAGTTTTCTTCTTTACCGAATATATGTTCGATAAAAACTTTTTTCTATAGAAAAGGGGGCCGATATCAAATAGAAATTGGTTTCGATAACAACTTTGTTTTTTGGAAAATAGAAATTGGTTTCGATAACAACATTTTTCACCAAATTTTCTATGTGAAAAGTGTTATCGATAATTCCATTTTCTATGCGAAATATCTTTGGATATTTTCTGTGTAAAAAGTTGAAAAATTTTCCAATAAAAAAATTTGCTGTACAAAAAATTTGTTATCGAAAAAACGTTTATATACAATGTACTGATATCGAACTATATTGTTATCGAAAATATTTTTCTATGAAAATGTTGGTTTCGAACCACGTTTTTTTATAAATATGTTGATGTCAAACAACTTTCCTACGAAAAAGTGGTTGGTGTTGGATTTTTTTTGTTATCGATCAACTTTTGTGGAAATGCAAATTTTGAGATTTAATCGATAACAATACATTTTATTTTTCTATGAAAATGTTGGTTTCGAATGAAGTTTTTTTTTAAAGTGTTGAGGTCAAACAACTTTCCTACGAAAAAAAAATATTGGTGTTGGATTTTTTTTTTGTTATCGATCAATTTTTGTGGAAATGAAAATGTTGAGATTTAATCGATAACAACACATTTTTTTACACCAACCTTTATTTTTTCTGGGGCAAGTTGTTTGACAGCAACATTTTTATAAAAGGAACGTGGTTCGACAACAAAATTTTCCCTAGAAAAAATTTTTCGATAACAGCATGGTTCGATTTTAGAATTTTCTATAGGAAAGTTTTTCGATAACCATTTTTTTGTGTAGCAATTTTTTTATCAATATTTCCCCCCAGAAAATCTGCAACTTCTAAGGTTTTCTTTTTCGATAACATGTTCGATAACAATTTTTTTTATATTAAAAGCCTGTAGCTTGTTGTACAACACAATTTGTTTTTGGCGTGAAATAACAAAAAAACAAAAAAAAAAAAAAAAAAAATACCCCGTATTACCGCTAATCGTAAATAAACCAAAAAAAGAACAAAAAGTATTGCATACTTTGAGGCGTTACAAAACAAAGAGACGCAAAATTAACACGAGCATTTTAGATAATGAAGATTGTCACTTGAGGCTAAGAAGGGGGGATAGTTGGTTGGGTGGGTGTGTGTGACAGAATGCAAGAAATGCAAATGTTTTGCCACGCACAGAGATTAATTAAAAGAGAGAAGAGAAAGGTGTGAAGGAAGCAAGGAAAACAGAAAACAGAAGAAGGAAAAAAAGCAAACAATGAAGAAAGTAAAGGTTAAGTAACGGCTTAACTGAATCGTGTTAACCCCTATAAACGGGGGTTTGCGGGGAGGTTTGCATATTTTTTTTCGATTTTTTATTTTTCAATATTTGTTGTTGTTTTATTTTGAAAGCAAAAAAGTTAGTCACTCACCTCACTGCGTGTGAGTATTGGCTTTTTACGTTGCAAAAACGAGGACTTCTTCTTGTGACTGGCCGCGGTGTTGCTGAGGCTGGTGCTGCTGGTGGGCGTGAGACAACCCCCACCACCGCCGGCGCCGCCGCTGCTGCCATGTGAATACGGATAGAGGCTTGATGTGGATGACATGGAGCCGGAACCCATTTGGTCAGCGGCCCCCAATGACCCATAGGACAGGGTTGCAGTGGTGGTGCTCGTGGTCGTGGCAGCGGCATTATTGTCGGCATAGGAGCTGCCGCCAGCCGGCAAAGGCAATGCTAGTGGCTTGAGCGTATGCTGGGAACTGCTGGAGGGTGACGATGATGAAATGGCGGCAATGGCACTACTGGACGACTGGACAACAGCGTCACTCTGAAATTTATTGGTATGATAATGGTGATGAGAGGAGAATTGTTGTTGTTGATGGTGTTGTTGTTGTTGTTGTTGCTGTAGATTACTGCTACTGCACGGGGCACTGCCTATGTGGGATGAACAAATTCTACTGTTACAGCAGGCTGCAGTCGTGGTGGTGGTGCACGACGACGACAACAACGATGCCTCATAGTGGCCGAGGTGGTGGTGCTGATGGTGTGGATGTGGATGAGGGTGGTGGTGTTGGTGAGCAGTGGGTGAATTTAAATTATTGGGTAATGATTTGGTGGTGGAGGGTGCGGTAGGTGGTTGCTGGGGCGCCTGGGTATAAATGGTGGGAGTGCGTCGCGACGCCGCCAGCCTGCTCGAGGAATACAATTTGGGATGTAACGAACGCACAGGTGATAGGGGTCGTGAGGGTTGTGGCTGTGGTTTAACATTATTGCCACTTGCCTGATACTGGGGCAGAGGAGGTGATAGGGACGATGAGGGTGACAGCGGATAAGCTGTGGTAAGCGTGGATGTAATGGAGGCTAATGTCTGGAGGTGAAGGGCAAGTGTTTTGGCAGTGTGTTGTCAATGATGGCCAAGAGGTACAATAGAATTCGTTGTGTTTTTTGGGTGAACAGAAAGAAAGGCATGTGAAAAGAGGACGAGAGAGAGGTAGAAGTAGAAGAACACAGATCCAAAGTATACGAATGGAGGAGAAAAAATACAGAGGAGAAAAATGAAATTACATTAAGTTTTACTTGGAGGTAAATTTGAGATATTCGCTAGGCAGTTATGTTTATTTTGGCAACTACAACTACTATGGGGAAGGGGGGAGAGAGGGGGAAGAAGGAGGGGAAAAAAAGTACAAAAACATTTTCTTAGGCTGAAAGCTTTTTGGTGGAAGGGTGCATAAGTTAGAGTATAATTTACCATTTTTAATTAACAAAAAAAAAAAAAAATGGAAAACAGTGCATACTTTTAGGATGATTCATGCTGAACATTTCTAAAATACTACTTTGAATGGTGCATATTTTTAGGGGTGGGATGTTAAGGCATGCATTGGAAATTTAAAAAAAAAAAAAAATATTTACGAAAATCGTTTGCAGGTCTTCTATAGAAAAAACTAGGTGGTGTGGGGAGTGGGTAGAGTTAGAGGTCGAGGATAAATAATAAAATCTATGAGGGAATATAAAGACAGGTATCTACATTCCACCTCCCTTGCAGGAGGAGGTGGACATTTCAAAACCTAATTATATTCTCAGCCAGAGAGGCTGGAGAGGGTATATATCATATGATACGGCCAAAACGTGCCTCATCGAAATAACGGTTTTAGACACTAGGCCTCTTTGGATCAAATCCGTTTGAGGACACATGGAGTCGATCTAGGGATGTCCATCCGTCCATCCGTCTATCTGGCTAATTCTCGAAGGGAGTATCCGATTTGGTCCAAAGTTGCTATATCGTAATATTATTATCAAACTTATAACGAGTTCGGAAATGAGCCATACCGGCCCATTCCTTCTACTAACTGCCCCACAAAAGTTCGAAATTAAAAAAAAAAATACTGCACAAAATGGGAAAGGATAATCCGATTAGGCTCAGAATTTGCAAATCCTAATATTTTCATCAGTGCTAAGTCAGGCGCGAAAATGGACAAAATCGGTTCACTCCATCAAGGACCTCCCACCCAAAGGGTCAAAATATTGAAAAATTATGACTCTCTTAATATGTGATGTAACAGCCCGATTTTCTTCAAATTACATACATCGCAATATTTTAATTAACCCGAGGTCTGGTGTGAAAATGGAATATATCGGTCCACTGCTTGTGGTACCGTCCCCACAAAAGGCCCAAAATTCGGAATACACATCAAGCTTATAAAACGCGAAATTAACATCCGATTCCATTCAGACTAGACATATCCAAATATTTCTATCAACACTAGATCTGTTATAGAGATGGTAGAGATCGGACCATTCCTTCTGGTACCTCCCCCACAAAGGGTCAAGGTTTGAATTACCAAAACGATCATAAAATCCGAAATAAGCTCCCAGTTCTGTTCATATTTCACACATCCAATTATTTCTCTAACAAAAAATATGCTGTGATGATGGGAAATATCGGCGCACTCCTTCTGGTACTTCCCACACAAAAGGGTAAAAATTTGAAATACCCATGAAATTAACATCCATTCAGACTTGGTATATCTCAATATTTCTATCAACACTAGATCTGTTATAGAGAGACTCTCATTCCATCCACTTGAAAGTATTGAATTTTTAGTACATTTTAGTACTTTTCGTACCCTTTTTGACCCTCGACTGATCAAAATTTCAAGACTCTAGCCACAGCCGTTATGTTTCGTCGTTGATTCTCAGTCAGTCAGTTATTTTACTACTCTTTTTTATACATAGGTGGCATTTTAATTTTTATACCCTCCACCATAGTATGGAGGGTATATTAAGTTTGTCATTCCGATTGTAATACCTCGAAATACACATTTTAGACCCTATTATATTATATATATTCTTGATCAGCATAAAATTCTATGTTGATTTAGCGATGTCCGTCCGTCTATCCGTCTGTGGAAATCACTTTAGCTTCCGAACGAATTGAAGTAGATTGATAAAATTTTACTCAAATGTATGTTATGTCTGCAGGACCTTTAGTATAGAAGGTCCACGTTTTGGTATAGCCCCCATATAAGGGTACCTCTCGATATTCGGTATTTTGATGATCTTAGCGACATTATTCAACGGAATTATTTAAAATGTGGTATTTGAAGTTCGTAATGGATACTACACCCTATGACAGAAAATTGTCTGTTCAGGTCCACGTCTTCGTATAGCCCCCCTATACCGGTACCTCCCGATATTCGGTATTTTGATGATTTTAGCGACATTATTTACCGGAATTGTTTCAAATTTCGCATTTGAAGTTCGTAATGGATACTACAGCCTATGACAGAAAATTGTCTGTGCAGGACCACGTCTTCGTATAGCCCTCATATAATGGTACCTCCCGATATTCGGTATTTTGATGATTTTAGAGACATTATTTACCGGAACTATTTCAAATTTTGCATTTGAAGTTCGTAATGGATACTACAGCCTATGACAGAAAATTGTCTGTTCAGGTCCACGTCTTCGTATAGCCCCCATATAACGGTACCTCCCGATATTCAGTATTTTGATGATTTTAGCGACATTATTTACCGGAATTGTATCAAATTTCGCATTTGAAGTTCGTAATGAATACTACAGCCTATGACAGAAAATTGTCTGTTCAGGTCCACGTCTTCGTATAGCCCTCATATAAGGGTACCTCCCGATATTCAGTATTTGGATGATTTTAGCGACATTATTTACCGGATTTGTTTCAAATTTCGCATTTGAAGTTCGTAATGGATACTACAGCCTATGGCAGAAAATTGTCTGTTTAGGTCCACGTCTTCGTATAGCCCCCATATAACGGTACCTCCTGATATTCGGTATTTTGATGATTTTAGCGACATTATTTACCGGAACTATTTCAAATTTTGCATTTGAAGTTCGTAATGGATACTACAGCCTATGACAGAAAATTGTCTGTTCAGGTCCACGTCTTCGTATAGCCTCCATATAACGGTACCCCCCCCCCCCCCCCCGCTATTCGGTATTTTGATAACTTTTTATACCCTACACCACAAGGTGGTCAGGGAATTATGTCTTTGTGCATTTGTTTGTAACAGGCAAAAGGAAACGAGATAGACACATAGTTCCCTTTGATGATCTGCATAGAATCACATTCTGAGTCGATTTATGCATGTCCGTCCGTCCGTCTGTTCATGTATTTTTGTAAACAAAGTACAGTTCGCATTTATCGCCCTATCCAGATGAGATTTTGCACAGATCATTTGTTTGGCCCAAGGACGAACCCTATTAAAATTGGAGATAATCGGTCAAAATTTAGATATAGCTCCCATATATATCTTCGTCCGATTTGCCTTTTACTGTGCACCAATCGTGTAATATCAGCCCGAATGGTATGGAATTTTGCACATACAACCAAATTAGGCCTGAAAATAAGTATGCCAAATTTGATTGAAATCGGTTCAGATATAGCTATAGCTCCCATATATATTGTTCATCCGATTTGTCATTTTTGTCCTCCACAGACGTAATATGCACTCTGTAACAACAATATTTGGGGAAACATAGCAAATACAGCTCAGAAATATCTTTGCTAAATTTTATCGAGATCGGTTCCGATTTGGATATAGCTCCCATATATAACTTCGTCCGATTTACCTTTTGTTGTACACCAAATGTCTAATATTTGTCCAAATTGGATGAAATTTGGCACTTACGACCGAATTGAGTCCAGAAGCTAGTATGCCAAATATGGTGAAGATCGGTTCAGATATAGCTATAGCTCCCATATATAATGTTCATCCGATTTGTCATATTTGTTACCCACAGCCGTAATATGCACTCCGTAACAACGATATTCAAGGAAATATATCAAATACAGCTCAGAAATATCTTTGCTAAATTTTATCAAGATCGGTTCCGATTTGGATATAGCTCCCATATATAACTTCGTCCGATTTACCTTTTATTGTACACCAAATGTCTAATATTTGCCCAAATGCGATGGAATTTGGCACATGCGACCGAATTGAGTCTAGAAGCTAGTATGGCATATATGGTGAAGATCGGTTCAGATATAGCTATAGCTCCCATATATATTGTTCATCCGATTTGTTACTCACAGCCGTAATATGCAACCTGTAATAACAATATTTAGGGAAGTATAGCAAATACAGCTCAGAAATTCATTTGCTAAATTTTATCGAGATCGGTTCGGATTTGAATATAGCTCCCATATATAACTTCGTCCGATTTACCTTTTGTTGTACACCAAATGTCTAATATTTGCCCAAATGCGATGGAATTTGGCACATGCGACCGAATTGAGTCTAGAAGCTAGTATGTCAAATTTGGTGAAGATCGGTTCAGATATAGCTA